AGATCGTACCGAGCGCTGTCAGGATAGCGGTCGAAGGTGTCCAACATCGTCTGGCAACGGAGTTTATCGAATGGCGCCAAGTTGCGTTTGAGGTGACGTTCCAAGTGGTGAACATCCAGGATGGACCATTGACCATCTATGATTATCATGCAGAAGATGCTGATGGAGATCTACTCATGACGGACCATGCAGCCGGACTCCTAGGTCGAGATTTCGTCTTGCGACTCAGGATGTCAGGACTACGAGGGCTGAGAAGACCACGAGGATCCCCAAGTAGTGAACCGGACCCCAAGCGACCACAACATGTGCCGCCTCGTCCGGTGTATCTATCCACACCGTCGCTGAGTACATTGCCATCGTATCATTCATCAGATTCGAACCGCTAGAGCGTGGTCACCCTGAATGAGACTATGTTCTCCATTCAGAATGTGTCATCGCGAGAAGGATCTGACCTTGTCCCAAGTCTGTTCGCCACATCAGGAGGGTCCATTGAGTCTACGCGCAGCGGTACGTCAGGATCGAAGTCGTCCCAAGGTGATGCATCGTCTTTGTCCGTGTGGTCCCTTGGGCAACCAGCAGCTGGTCACATGCCGTTCAGGGCGTATGTTCCTATTGTGATGACCGCCCAGGGTGGAGCCGTCCAGGCGAGCACTCAGATGGGCATGCAAGTGGTCCAAACGATTCTCCCTCCGTTGATGGCCGAACCCGACGATGTCGTTATGTCGGAGTCGGGCGAGGTTTCTATCCAGAGCGAACGCAGGTCGAGACATCCCAGGGCGCGGCAACCTCACCGCCGAAAAGACCATAGTCCTGACGGATCATCCAGTGGCTCTGACTCCGAAGCCAGTCGTTCACGACGCAAAGATGCCAGGAGTCATCGGTCGTACAGGAAGACGTCGAGTCGTAGGTCGCATTCAGAGCATTCCAGTCGATCGGGTCGATCCTCCATGTCTGGGGCGTCCCAAGTCGCATTGAATACGATGCGCCAGACTCAGGAAGCCTTGACCCGCATCCAGTCAGAACTCGCCCAGAAGCACCAAGCTGATGAAGCGATTATGGCTGCTCACGCTGAGGCTGCCATCCAGGCCGAACGACTTCGGGCCGCGAAAGAGACCGAAGACGGACTCAAAGCACAGCATTTTCAGACCGAGGCGGACTTCGCTGAACGTCTCAGGGTCCAACGGATGTAGGATGAGTCTGAGCGTGCGCGCTGGGTGGACGATGTCCAGAAGAACACGAATACGCAGATAGCGATCCCCCAGCGTCAAATGCGCGAGATGGAGGCTGAACGTGATTGAGAACGCGAAGCGGCGAAGAGTATCCAGAAATTTCAAGCCAGTCAGTTGCGCGACCTTCGTGCAACCTCCGCCCAGGTTCAACATGCGACAGTGACCCCTGTCCCAGATGCAGTGTCTCAGATCACAACAGAATCGGGAATTGCGAACTTCCAGCAAGATGCAAAGGGTCATGATGCAGGCAACGTCGCCGTCAAGAAGGAGAAATCCGCCGACAAGGAGGTCGCGGTCGCCCGCGCGGACGCTCTCCTGGCTGCACAACTACAGGCTACTCTCCAGAGCGTGAACGTGGCGAAGTAGAGGGCGAAAACTGCGACTGCCGTGTCCACAGCGGTGAAAGCTGAGGCGGGAGACAGGGCGACGAAGGCCACCGCGCCCAAGTCGTCGGATGACGCAAAGGTGAAAGCCAAGAAAGCTACACCTAAAGCTAGCGCATCCAAGAAGGCTCGGCGTGGCGGATACCCGTCCGACTCGGACCCAAGCTCAGAAGATGACGACAGCGACTCCAGCTCTGATGACTCGGACAGTTCTTTCTGTGAGCCGCTCAGCGAAATGGTGGTCCCTAAAGCCACCCAGGGCGGCACCACCACGATGACTATCCGACCATTCATGACCGCGAGTTTTCTGGACGATTTCGACGAGAAGCTTCTCTCTCGGAACGCACTCGTTGGTGGGAACGTTTTCAACCGTTGGCTTTCCAGGGCGGATGGAGCGACAAGATGAAGGTTTATGAACTCCGCCTGAAGCTATCCTCTTCGGCAAGGAACTGGCGTTCACAATTGTCTCCGCATGTGCGGCGTGACTGGACGAGGTTCTCCAAGGCGTTCAAGGTGAAGTACCGTAAATCCAAGATGTCCGACTCAGAAAAATACTATACCATGAAACAACGCAAGGCAGAGACCCCGTGGATTTCTTGTATCGCCTGAATGCTGCGGCTCGCTACAAGAAGTCGGAGCGACGTCGTGAACAACATGTCAAGAGGTTCACATATCAGTTGGCGGATTCACAATTGAAAAGCATCTAGAAAAGTCCGCGATTCAAGACCATGGATGATCTGGAGTATGTGTTGAAGCAGCAAGAAGATGACTGGGATGATGACCGTCAAAGCGGCTCGTCCTTCAAAGCGAGAGACTTCAGGGCGGACAACCTTCGTCAGGGGCGACTCAGGACCGAATATTCAGGACGAGCGTATGTCACTCAGAGCGGCGACGAGTCTGACTCTGATGAACGACATGTGATGTTTGAAGATGAAATTCTTGAGATCTCCCCAGCCCAGTAAAGAGTCGAGTCCCGCGAGGCACCTCCTGAAAACCAAGGCCCGGGCATGACTATGGAAGAGCTGACACAGCATGTGCTCAAGGTCATGGAGAATTCAGGATGGAATAAACCTGGGTATATGGCACACCAGGGTAAAGCCCGCCAGAGTAGCGGCCACCCAGGATCGCCATCGCCGAGGTATGACAACCCTGACCGGGACATGCGTTGTGGCAACTGCAATGGAATTGGACATAGGGCTGAAAATTGCTGGGCAGACCTAGTCTGCGAAAATTGTCATCGCACTGGACATCCTACTCAGCTATGCAAGACCCTACCGTGCAAGAAGTGTGGCAAGTTCCACGATGGTCGCTGTGAAGATTGGGAGATGCTAGAGTCGATTGCACGACTAGCCCGCCAAGGCATCGTGAAGGGCTTACCCACTCCGATGCTGGACCGACTCCTAGCCGTCAAGGCCGATCCTGGTGATGGGTCGTTAAACCATTTAGCCCGCCGGATGGGGAATCCAGTACGCGACGGGCATGGTAAGACCCCAGGATTGTGCGCCTTAGTATATGTCGGCCCTGAGTTGAGGACCAAGAACCAAGATAACCAACAATGCATGACTTCTATGTCTCAAGATCCCATGAGTTCAGGATTAGGTCCTTCTGGATTACTTCATTCAGATGGTACTTACAAAGAATTCCCTGTGGAATTCCGGCTTCGGGATGGAGAACGTTATGGGTGGTGGACTACTCATCAACCAGGGAAGGAAAAGCGCAGGATTGCTACGGTTCATCGTGCCGTGAATGACGTAAGAACTCACGTACACCTGGACACAGGAGCGTCATTGAGCACGATCAGCTTGGATTTAGCGCGTAAACTCAAGCTCAAGCTCGATCGACAAAATCAAGTCAAGGTGTCTGGATTAGGAGGTATTCCTACCCAGATCACGGCAAGTGCGGAAGTCAAGATAACCCTGAGATCCAGGGTGGTCTACATTATGGAATTGTGGGTGGTCAATATTGGCGAAGGATTGGATGTGTCTTGGGCATGGATTTCATGTTTCGTGCGGGAGTGCGGGTCTGTGTTAGAGAAGGTTTGTTGCAACTACCGGATGAGGAGTCTATCTTGTTGTATGATGAAAGTGTCAAAATACCCCAGAGCGTGGACTTGCCTGTCACGTCCCCAGAGCATTTGTACCTCAAGCCCGGAGAGCACGCAGTCGTGCGTATTCAGTATGGACATACAAATCCAGAACGAGAAGTCGTTTGGGCTGGACGAGGTGACAGGTGGGTGACCAAGATTGTCTATCAGGCTAGGTTCTGGCCAGTGGCAATCAGAGTTGTGAATGTGTCGAAACACAATGTCTGGATCGATATGAGAACATCGCTAGCCAGGATTGTGCGGTATGGGTCGTTCCTGCAGGCCGGGCGCTTCGTCCGCCCTGGAACGCGAGCTTATCGTGAATGGCAGACCCTGATCCTGGAGCACGCCCAGTCAGAACAAGACATACTCAGGGCTGAAAGGAGAGAACAGACACTGCGAAAATGAGAACCCCTGTGTGTGTGCCGAAAATGGAATACCAATGGCCAACCAAGATTATGCTAAGACCCCAACCAGGATCTGCTGAAGTCAGAATGGCTCAGTTGCAGGACCCCCCGTGCTTCAAGGTGTTGAATCGCGAAGAGTTGGTGGATGCGGATGCACAGACGGAAGAGGACCCCCGGTGACAACCAGGATTGATGTCGCCACACCAGTCAGCGAAAGTCAACTAGACAGCTATGAATATGATCCTGGTGAAAGCAATACGCTGGATGATGTCCGAGGCGATACCTTTGCGGATATGCTTACAGAATGGACTATTGAATTCGAGGAGTCCCAGGGCGGCGAGACGTTCGCGGGGGTACACCCTGAACAGGACGCTTCAGGATTCTCACCAGAACCAGCGCCTTGCACACCACTCGAGAAGCTGGAGATGGAATACGAACGCTGTATGAGGGTTAGCGTGGAAGACCTGGACTTGGAGCCAGGAGTGTACATACATGAAGGGAGCGACATGCTGGCACAATTGCGGGACCAGTTGGTCATGCTGCCAGAATTGAGCGAATTGCACCCACAATGTGACATCGACCGGGCCAATGTGGGAGTCCAAGGTGATACCAGTCCAGAAGATGAATCCAGGATACGTGCAATCCTGAAGTGCCATAGAAAGATTTTCCTGGGCGACGGAAATGCCGCACCTGCTCCCGCCAGAGCAGTGGTATGTGACCTCAATGTAGGAGACGCCAAACCTATCACGTTGCGCCCAAGGTCGATAGGACCGCACGTGCCAGTCAAGGTATACGAACTCCTCAAGAAATTGCTCGAGAACAATCTGATTGAACATTTAGAATTGCAGTGGGCATCTTCGATCGTGATCGTGCTCAAGAAAATGGGGTGGACATCATGATGTGTATTGACTATCGACTTGTGAATAATTTCATCCAGCTGTCTAGCTATCCGCTACCTCTCAACGACGACCTGCTAGTTGGTTTTGCGAAAGCACTCTGGTTCATGAGCCTGGATATGGCCAGCAGTTTCTGGGCAATCAAAATGACCGAAAGAGCTAAGTTGATTTCAGCTTTCGTATGCCCGTTTGGACATTTCCAGTGGATTCGAATGCCGTTTGGTTTAAAAATGCACCTCTGATTTACCAGCAAGTGATCAACAATTGCCTGTGGGGATTCGTGCGTCTGCCACCAGAAGAGGAGGCGGAAGTAGACCAAGAAGTTTTGGATTACCTGAATCTGGACCCCCAGGATGATGGACCTCCAGGGTGTAGCACTCCAGGGTGTACCGGTTGTGAAGACGGCCATATTGCTCGGTCGATACCGACCCTGGCGGACCAAATGACAGTATTCAAGAGGAACATCCCTGTTCCGACGCAGATGTCACCTGTCTTAGGGCGCAGTTCTTATATCGATGATATCGCACATGGCGCACCGACTTGGAATGCATTGTGTGCTGATTTGGATGCCTTGTTATACAGGCCGCGATATTGGAATATCTCAGTGAGTGTGCCGAAGAGCGAGTTCGAGAAATTGTCCATTCCATATCTGTCGCATGAGATTAGCGCTGAAGAAATCAGTGCAACACCGGGCATTCAGGATTTACCGTTCCCAACTACAATGAAGGGAGTGCAATCTTTCTTGGGCAGCCTGAATTACTATCACAAATTCCTCAAAGACTACACTGTGATTGCAGCCTCCCTGTATGAGCTCTCGGATGACCAAGTGCGTTCAGGACGAGATCTATCCAGGGCAAAGCAGGCGTTTGAAATCCTGAAACACAAGATCGTGTCGACCCCAGTATTGAGGCACCCTGATAGGACCAAACCGTTTGTTATTATACCCCATGCAAATCTATGGGCTGCCTGTGCGGCCCTGGGTCAAGAACATGACGGTTTGATCCAGCCAGTTCGTTTTACGGGGCGGGTCCTCCACGATGCGGAGTTGAGATACCACATCGCAGAAAAGGAGGTCATCGCCGTGTTGAGACGTTCAGAACATTCGAGGCTTTTCTTCAAGATCTGGGTCTTGATCCAAGTCTGCCTCGTGTCTGTCAGTAGAAATCCTCTCCACACTCCGCTGATCTGTGGATCTTGCTGTATTCAGCGATGCCTCCGTCGATCCAACATTAGTAGGCACTTCTTCCCTGTGTTCATCTTTGACCTTGACATTATCTTAGGGCTCACGGTGAAATCCCTGGTTCGAAATCCGGGCACGCACGCCATTGTGGTGGGGCGGGATCTGCGAAAATCTCGTCGACGCAGGTCTCGATACCACTGGCGCCCGGACACCGACTAACGAAGGGGGTCCTCCGATGATCCGTGATCTGGTTGTGTAGTTGTTCTCACCTTGAGAACCCGATGGCGGGCGAGTTACGCTCTTCTAGGCGACTCGTGAGACGTCCTTCGGCGAATATGGAACGCAGGGGGTTGAAATAGCGTGGAACTACTTCACTCGGTCTCGGGGTAGATGATCCTGGACGCGGGTGTGTCTTTGAGCCGCGATCTGGCTGCCTGCTTATCGATCCAGGTCGTACGTTCGAGATCTGTCCCCTTCCTTTGCGTTTTCTTGCCGCTTCCTATAGCGGGGAACTTGTTGAGCTGAGATCCGATGTGATTTTCCGGCCAAGCAATCAATGTCTTCCGATCCGCGGTACACACTTGAGGACAGGTCACTAGGTAGGGTAAAGCTGGCAAATGTATTATCCAGGCTTAACCGCTCCACTAGGTCACGAGTCCTTACCTTCTACACACTTCCGGGGCCAATACAATCCCCGATTCCAGGCGTGACGTACGCACTTGTGTGACTTGGAGCAAATTCGAGTCTGTTTACGTTTTCCCTATGCCCACTGATCCCATCCTCAGCTGCTATCTTACGATTACCTGACATCAGGGTACCTACCGGATCCTGAGATCTGTCGTCAAGCGTCTGGAATAGCCCTCTCGATCGCGATCTCGGACAGCGTTCTCGATCGCGATCTTGGGCAGCTTCCTCGATTGTTACCATACCCGGACCTGGATCGCAGTTCCCCTACGATCTCGGTCCGTTGCCTTATCATGATCCTGGGTCGCCGTTCACCTGCAATCCCTGCCCGCTGCCATACCTTGATCCTTGATATCTCGAACCGGGGAACGATGGAGGCGCGTCGCCATCCATCACTCTAGTGGTCAATCTTGGCTCATCCGGAGTTAACGTCACTCACCGACGTTGTCGCACACTCGATCTTAGGCAGGTGACCCGAAGTGCTGGCCTGGGTGGGATTCCTGTCGCCTGGTCCGTCTCTATTTAGCAATCTGGCAGTCGAGGTTGCCTTTCTCGTGAGATCTTATTCGCACTTCACCACACAACCGTCAAACGTCTCGCTTCCAAAACAAGTGTCATCTACAAACGATCTCCGGTCAAATACTGATACCAATGAGGACTCGTCTGGTTCGCCATTCGAAAACATATCGCCCACCGGACTGTTGACTAGATCTGAGACAGAGTCTGGATTTGATGCATACTCGCGATCGGCCTCAAACTTGGAACGAGGTCTCGTCAAACTCCCTGTCACCCCTGTCTTAGTGCGTTCGACGTCTTCTTCAGCGGACCGCATACGCTCAGAGTACTCTTTCCAACCGCCCTTGGGTTAAACAAACCCCCATACAGCGTTGTCCATCATACGTTGGTAAATCATTGGCGCGTTCTTATGGCGAAACGGCATCGGCGCCATTCGAAGTGCCCAAGTGCACAAACATAGGCAGAGACTTTTCGAGCTTTCTTATTCATCATAACCAACCTTTGGTGGTCCAGACTTGACTTTCTGGGCGCCACCTAGTCCTCGGATGACCTCGCTAGAATGCGTTCAGGCGTCGCATACTCCTTTCGCTCTACTGCCGGTAGTTGTTCCGCCAACCAGCACTCATAGAGCTCTTTCCCTTCTACAGTAGGGTCTCATCTCGTCCTTCCGCGTACGCAAGTACTTCCCATTTGTTGTACTTGCTCAAATCGAGCCTGACATACCCCACCTCGCGTGGGGGTTCACTTCTGGGTATCCATAATACCACAGAGGAGTGTTTGTAGCACCGAGCTGCCCCGTCTGACACGTTCGTCAAACAGACCCACACGGGTTCGCCCCTGCGGGATTCCATCACCGTCGGTACATTTACCTGGTCCTTCGGATCCATAACTCGTGCGTCCCACGTGAGGGTCTATTCAGGGGCAATCGGAACTCTCGCCACTCACCACGAGGGACATCCAAGTCCTCTGTCGGTCCACCAGCGACCTGAGTTCCATACGGCTCATCATCAATAGCACCAGTCGACTTCACCAGTGGCACTACGACCTCGACAGGTAGCCTGGCGGTGCCATGGAACAAATCCAACCTTACACCCGCGGTGATCATGAATTCTGTCCCAAGCACGACGTCAACGCCTGCGCTGTGGTCCATGATCAACATTTCGAATTCGTACACGCGTTCCCAATCAAGGGTGATCTTAACGGGTGCTCGCCTTCGGGTCTCCAGCACTCCAGGGTTTGTTCCCCGTACTTCCAAGCTTTGGCCATGGTCTGGAACCTCACTTAGGCGCAGTCGCTTAGCATACGCCGCCGATATTACGCTGACATTAGCTCCAGTATCTAACAGAATCCTCGTTCGGGTGTTGGCAATAGCATCCATGACTATAGCTATCATTCTCTTCCGTTTGTCGTATCATTGGAACGACCACCACCCTAATCTTTCGCCTGGCAGCAATTTCGCTGTTCGAACGAGGCTTCGGGAAAGTGTCTCATTTGGGCCTGAACTTGAAGCTGAAGTCTCTGTCAGGTATCCATCATGTTCTCCAACGGCCAATTCATCTACCTCTTCTGGACCTAAGCTTCTGTCATTTTCTTCTACGATTTCCGTCGTATTCAGAAATCCTGTTTCACGGTCTTCGGGCCATTTCACCTCCCCTACAAACGTAAACAAATAGTTTGCATCTACTGCAGGTTCGGTTTACTGTGGCAGCCCGATAGGAACCAACCTAGTTTCAGTTGGCGGGCTGCCTAGTTTAAATGATTCACATACATCACGCTTTGCAGCATAGGTGTCAAATCATTTTTGTCGACCTTCGTCCAGGGGAAGCTAGCGAGCTCATTGAAAGCTTCGCACTTTCCAGCATCATGGACTTGCTTGCACAGTTTGCATCGTTTGTAGCAGTAATGCACAGAGTGAGTCAAACCTCCGTACGCTGCGCAAGGACCATACTGCTGCCGTCCGTTGCGGTTGTCACGGGCAAAACCTCTGTCATTGTTGAAATGACCATCACCCTTGGGGCTTCGGTTGTTCGATCGGGCGAACATCCATTCCGCAGCTGTACGACGTTCATGGTCGCTTGCTGCCACGACGTGACTGCGCTCGTCCTCACTCGCATAGACGTACTCTGAACCTCCGTGAGAGTATCGATATTTGTCGTCTCGACGCTGTCCATCACCGAGCGAGTCCTCATTCGGCTCATACCCATGGTCGTACGACCCTGACTGACTCGTCCGCGGTCCGACCGAGGTCTCGTTCAAAGCAGTGACCAGATCAGATACCGCATCTGTGAGGGTAATTCTAGGTCGATACGGTGACTTGTCCCTGCGGCGATCGTCTCGGTAGTAGCTGACTCGGCGGTAGCTGCTCCTTGATTCCTCGTTCCGACTGCTATCTCGTCGGCGGCTACCATCTTGATCACTGGAGCGTCTCACCGAGGAGTCACATATCGCTTTCCGGTCTTGGCGTTTCTGGATATCGTTGATCATATCCTCGAGATCCTGAATGTCCTTCAACCGTACGTGGCATAAACGCTCTTCGAGACCTCTGTTATCGCACGTGTCGAGGAAATGTTCCAGTGGTCTTAGGCTTCACGTCCACCGTTTTCAAGCTGTACTCCTGCGTTTCGGGCGTAGCCATTAACTCGGTTGAGGTAGGTGCACACATGCTCCTTGTCCTCACGCTTCGCCGGGTAGTACCTATCCTTCGCAGACTGGTTGAACTTCGAACAGTAGTACTTGATGAACGCGTCGCTAAAGAGTTTCCATGTGCGGCGAGTCTTGCGTGGTAATTGTCGGTACCAATGCAAAGCCCCGTCTTGTAAGCTCAACTCGAACACCATGCATGAATCATTATGTGGAGTATGCGTTCCCTTCATTTCATAGATGAAAGTACGAAGCCACTGCATGAAATTCTCGCTCTTGTTTCGGTACCCCGAGAATGACTTGATGTAACCCAGCGGCAAGTGAGTTGCAATTTCAAGTCTGGGCGTCGAGTTCTTCTCTTCTCTCGCACTCAGTTCGCGAATCTGTCGCGCCCATTCCTCGGTCAGGTCTCCTTCGAGGTAATCAACATACAAAAGGTCCTTTCCATTGTCAGACGAGTCCTCGTTCAGATCGTAGCGACGGTCTGACTGTTGAGCTGGACCCCTGTAAGTGTTAGGTGTTGGTCGCGAGGCCTCGTTCTCCTTCACAACTCGATCCTGGCGACTCACAGGCCTTGGAGTCACCATGTGCGAGTCTTGCATGTACGGGGACCCTTTGGATCCGAACACACCTGTCGAAGACTCGTTCTGCTTGACTGGGGTTTGAGGTAGTGGGACTTGCGAAGGGTCAGCTGGCATAAAAGCTTGACGGGCTACCACCTGACGACCTGGAGCAATCCCTTCCACCCCGAACGCCGTAGTTTCTTCTTCCACTTGCGTAGAGCTGTGCCGGCTTCAGCAGGGGGCTAGTCGTCGAGTGCAGCGTCCGAAAGAAACCTCTGAGGCTCGCACCCCATGGTCCTCAATAGCATGGCAGTATCTTGTGCAACTTGACGAGTGCTTGTTGGGTCGATTGGCACGACCAACCCGTCTCCAAGTTTCATCTACACTGCTTGTCGAACTAGAGTAGGTCCGATCATTTGCATCCAGCAGCTCCTTGTCATCATCAATTCCAAGGTCTTGCCAATAACCTTGTTGGCTCCCGGTGTGTCACCGTTGATTGGAGGTCGGACGTCGGTTGATTGAGAAGTTACCTTCCCAGTCGCCGCCGACGGTTTCGCTCTGTCGGACCACTTTCTCCAATGCTTCGGCGTGGTTGCGCGCGAGCGCTTTTACACCTGCGCTGCGGCCTACAGACACCACAGCGCCATCCGAAATCTCTGACACAGGTGTCTTCTCTTCCAGGTAGTCATCTTCATCGTCTTCCTTGGCGTCAGAGTAGTCAACCGAACCGTCGAAGCTCACAGAGCGTTCGGTAATCGGCGTCATAAGAGAAGTCGTTGGCGTCGAATACAAGCCCCTTGAGCGCCTAGAAACCTC